CCCCCAGCCCTCGGGGATCGCAGGGTCTCGCCGCATGTGTCACACCAGCAGGGCTGGGAGGAACTGGCCCTGCAGCAGGAACACGCGACTCCAGCCAAAACATGCCGTTCTCCCTGTAAAAAAAAGCAATCCTGTGGAAAACAGCAGCTAATGAAGAGGTCTGTCTTCTGCACAAAGAGGGAATGGATAAAACAGACCCTCCGCTTGGGTGAAGGAATTATTTTTGCTGTAAAATCTCCTTCGGGATGTCTCCCGAGTGAAAACCAACCCCAAAGCATGCAGACGCTGCTGGAAACAACAACCCTTTCCGCTCTCTGGAGCTCTCCCTGCCACCAGTCCAGGGTGGGACAGCACAGGCTGCAATATAAAGACCACGGCATCTTGAAGGAACATAGGGAGGACTGCTCTCTAACGTACCTGAGACCAGACATTGTTATGGTCTGTTCAGCCTTGGGGGAGGGAGGAAACAAAAATAAATATTAACCTTAAATTCTATGACTGCGAAGTTACTGACTAGGCCTGTTGACTTGCTGCTGCTGGTGCCTCTCACAGTCAGAGCTGGTCCCTTAAGAAGGTCTGTGCTGAGGACAGCCCCGGCGTTCAGTGACTTGAACCTGAAGCCATTCAACACCTAACCCTGGCCACCCAGGGAAGCACACTGAAGGCTGTGGCCATGGTAGCTTTCCCTGCCGTGCATCAAAGACAACTGCTTGCACCCCAGCCTCCTGGGAGATGCAGTGAAAGCAGTCCGGCAGCGCTGCTGAGGAAAGCCAGCTTTTCCAGTGCGAGAACCTGCGCTCAGCTGCCTGCAGTGGGCCTGGGCCAGGCCTGCTGGTGCCAAAGGACAAGTCCGAGGCAGGCACAAGACACAGATGGTCCAGGGTCAGGGGCACTCACCTTGCCACCTCACTTCCCATGGATCTGGGGCAGCTGGAAAAGTGTTTGTGCCTGTCTGAAGCAGCGCGCTGCTGGCATGGTGATAACGGAGCAGCAGTTCTCGGGGTGGTACACTGGTGCCTGTGCTGAGGAGTTCAATGCTACCTGGAAACTGTCCCTAAGGACATGCGGCTGACAGAGATCTGCCGAACCCAGCAAGGACAGGGCTCGGGAGCGTGTAGCAGCAGCTCCCAAATTTGGCAGCTATAAGCAGTTCTCTAATGCAGTAGGGTTGCCGTGAAGCCTTCACCCTACCGGCATCCGTTTTCCAAGGCCCTCAGTCCAGCTTTAAAGCCAGACTTTGCCTCTAGCAAGCAACTGCAAAACTTAACTTCTCTTGCTCAGACCTGGTGCCAGCAGGGATTGGAAGTCCTGATGTGCTGCTTCGGCACCAAGGTCCTTCAGTGGGTGATACCAGCAGCAGCAAAGGCAAGATGGGGCTGGGAAAGTCAGAGGTACTGGCAGGACTCCCCAGCAGCAGGAGTAAAGCCTGCCCTAGCAGGCAGGCCAGAGCAGGCACAGCACGGCCGTTACACAGGCTTGCAGTGCTGTCAGCTCACTTCTCAGCTGGCAGGAAAAGGTACCCAACAGCTCAGCGAGACCCGCAGCCTCCCTGAAGACACAGCACCTCTTCATCCACCCTCTTCTTCCCTTGCAGGTGGAGAGTAGCCAAAGGCAGGATGATTTTTGTCCCTTCCACTGAGTGCATGATCTTAAACCCAGGCTACACTTCAGGAGGAAAAACCCAGCTTGGCTTTCTGGTTCCCACCTGCAGAGACCAGGGCCCACAGAGGGGAAAAGCCCTGTTTATATTCCAGCTGGGCAAGCAAAGCTTGTAATTACATCCACCCCTCCAGCCTGCTGTGCTTGCTTCTAATCCCCCTCTCTGCACGGAGCAGCACCACCACTCAGGTGGAAACTGTGTACAAGGTCCTGGGGGCAGGTTCAGAAGAGGAAGTTGGGACTTGGCGCTGAGAATTCTCTGGGGCACCATTTTCCCTCTCCAACATTACTTCAGACACACACTAAGCAGGACAATCCTTCTCTCACCAGAAAAGAGACAGCAAGAAAGAGAACTAGGAGAGCCTGATCTCAGCTCAGCTAAAGTCCCAGGCTCAGGGCCGGAAGGAATGAGGGTCCCAAAAATAAAAGGCAGACAGAAATGCCACTGCCACCCCAGACCAAGTATGGAGACAGCCAAAACGCAGCAGTCCCACACCTGGATGGAGGAGCTCAGCTCCTGTTTAGTCCAGCACAGGGGTCCTATGCCTCCCCGAGCACCCCAGCGCATCTGTCTGGGAACAACCCCCACCCCACCGGCTCACAGGGAAGTGAAAAGAGCGGGCATTTGGGACCGCCATCACCGCATCAAGGTGCATGGCTCTGAATATGAAATGGGCTTGTTTACCCTGGATTGGTTTCAGGAGAGCTGCTGCCCTCCTGCTGTGTCTTGTATCATTGGACTAACAGCTGGGCTTGACACACACTTCTTCTGGTGAAGAAAACACTGAAATAGTCCTTTTCTAGGGACTCCCGGCAGCAGAGAGCCCTGAATGTCCTCCACAACACTACGAAGACGTGCAGGAACTCCAGATGTACAGTCAAAAATAGGTTTACTGGAATGTCTTTAGTCACAGCTGTAAGCAGCGATACTGAAAACAATGAGCTCGTGCATTCCCATGGCAGGACCAGAAAGTCTTCTGGATTGTAAAACCTAATGATTTCTCTTCCCCTCCCCGCCCCCCCCTTTTTTTTTTTTGAACAAGAGAGAAACAACACCCTTGCAGTTCTCCACAGAAGGATCAGTCCCCTGTACCATAATGGTAGGTTTCTCTTCAGATATTTTTCCCCTCCTTTGCTCTGATGAAAGGACAGAGTCCCCTCTGCCTACTACAGCAGGCAGCAGGGAACTGCTGAAACAGTATTATTAATATTACAACTCAACCATATATACAGATAAACCGTGGTGGCAAGTAGCCAGCTCCAAACCAGAGACCCAGAATTCCACAAAACGGGCGGTTTGGGAACTGAATCTTCTGTTAATAAAAAAGTCTGACAGCAGGAGCAGGTACTCGATCAAAAGAAAAAAAAAAAAGGTCATTTGGCAGTTCTTGAAACGCTCCGTTAGTACTGGCTACTTGCCGCTGCCTCCTCACTCCTCAGAGAAAAACAAAGCTATATACAGATATCTCACTTAAATTACACAGCAGTTTGGTTATCCCAGAGCCAGCTCCACCAAAGCCTCCAGCTGCCTCGTCAGGTATGGTACTTCAGGACTATGGGTACTGGAAAACACAAAGAAACAGGCTCTCAGCCACACACCTCCGCGTGCAACGCCCATCCCCGCCAGAGAGATCCCCCTGTTTCTGTAGTGACAAACACCAAGCCGCTGTGAGGGAAAGTGTGTTTCCAAGCCCAGCTAATGCAATCTGCTGCCCTCACACATGCTAGACAAGATTTCCTGCCACCTTCATCTGTTTCCAGCTTCCCAAAATTAAACCAGATGGGATTTTCCATCAGTCTCTCTCTCTCTCCAATGCTCCCACCCTGCTGCCAGCTCCACCTCTCCTGCTGCAGGCTGTGTGTCAGCGGGACAACAGGCCACAAGGGTTTTGCCAAAGTAACCAGGGCTGTTGCAGAGCTGCCCCCGGCCACAGTCACTGGGAGGAAAACCCTCCGGACCCAGCAGCATGGAAGTGCTGCGCTGCCGTGCTGGGCTGCTTGGAGCCCTGGAGCACATCATTCTGCAGGCAGAGTGACGAATTACTGCTTTTCTGCCTGGAAGGGAAACGCTCTGGTCAGTATTACCTGTTTGGTAGGAAAAGCAGTGACATCTCTGCTCTCTCTCTCCCCAGAGAGACCAGGAAGGGCAGAGGGCAGGGGAAGGGACTGACAGCAAAGCCACAACAGCTACTTGCTGAAAATTAGGCAGCCTGGCAGCTCTGAGGAGGAGCGTTTGCTGGGACCAGACCCATTGCAAAATGGTTGATATACGCGGAGAGGCCTTTGGAAGACATTGCTCTGCTCTGAAACTCTTCCATCTATTCCCACCAGCCTCAGAAACAGTCAGTGCCAACCCTGGACTGATACAACGTTGGCTTTCTTTGGCCACAGTCAGTAGGATTTGGTTTGAGGCTCTCCTCTCCATGCACATTTAAACCTTGCAGAAGAGGAGCACGGTGTGGGCTAAAGGCACCACTTGTGACAGCTTAAGGCAGAGCGGGGCCCAACAGAGCAGCTCAGGTGCTCTCTCCCAGGGACAAAAGCACCATGGTGTCACTCACAGTGTGGAGTGCCACGAGTATTTCAATGCCAGACATGGCTCGGGTGACCGGGAGCTACTCACCGATGATCACGAGCAGGAGAACGACCGCCACCAGTGCTATGATTGCTTTCATCTGCAAGGGGAGCACAGAGGCGTGTTACATAGGGTGCCGTGCATAGCTGCTTCGACCTGAAAGGAGGCCTTTGCCTTCCAGCATCTTTTCAGCTGGAAAGCAGAGCTTCTCCATCCCCTCCCAGGGAGGGCAGGTGACACACAAACCCGCCCCTGCCTGTCCTGCTCACCTTGCAGCCTCGCCACCACATCTGTCTCCGAAGCTGCTTGGCTCTGTTGCTAAAAGCTGTTGCGTTGTCTGATAAACTTTCTGTTGAAGGAAAGAAAGGAGGCCATTCAGCAGCGTGCGCACAGTCAGAGCGTCTCCACTCATGCTACCAACTCTACTGAGTTTCAAGCAACAAACTCAGCATTAGGGGAAAAGACCCAACCACAGCGTGATTCACCGAAGCCACAGCAGATGCCAATGTGACGCCCTTCGCTAGAGCACACACAGATCTGCCGTGTCCCACTGAGCCCCCTTTGTCCTGGCTGCCCTCTGAGGACAGGAATTCACTCTGCAAGCCAGCAAGTGAGCGGACAGCTGAAGTGCTCAGGGCCTTTGGGAGACAGACCAACCTACCTTAGCTTGAAAGGCCAGCTAGATCACAGCACCCAAGCGCCTCCAAACTAACACCTCTGCGCAGAGCGGCAGAAGGCAATGGTGGAAAGAGCAGAAAGTCAGCAGAAAGTCAGATCTGCAGCCCAAGGCTGGGAAACACCGCTCCAAAGAAGGATAGAAATAAAAACCCAGGTCTGTCATTAGGCACGTTCTGAACCAAAACCAGGTAACCTGGCCCAGCAACAGGGAAGAGACATTGGGAAAAGGCCAGCAGAACTGCATTTAGTATCGCACCTGATTTATCCTGCAGGTCATCCAGCCGCTCGCCTCTTTCGATCACCTTCGTGATGTTCTCCTGCATAACGTCGATGACTTCGTCCACCTGGTTCTGCACACTAGAGCAGAGCAAAGGCAGCATGAGGAGCAGAAGCGAGCGCCACCAGCTGCATTGCAGTGCCAGCCCTTGCTCAGAGCCACCCAGGCTGACGGAGTCTGGGAACTCACCGACAAAAAACAAAGGGGACAACAGTGGAGGGAGGTTGATGGGATGCTGAGAAAGCCAGAGGCATGGCAACGCCCAAGGTGGGTCTCTGGCAACGCCAGGAAGGGCGAGGGAACACAAGGGGCTCAAAGAGAGCACCGGGCAGTCAGCAGAAGCAGGGCACCCTCTGTAACACCTTCAACACACAAATGCAGTAAGAGAAGGCACTAATTGCTGTCGGTGGGCACCTCTGCTGCAGAAGAGCTCATGTCAAAGGGAAAAAATAAATATGAAACCCACACCTTATCCTTCCAGATTTCACAGAACCTCGCACTGCACCTTTGCTAAATAATGGGGTGAAATCAAAGCTAGGTGCACTCCCCTTTCCAGGAGCTGAGCTGCTAAATGAAACCCACTCTGCCAGGGGCATCAAGAGGACAGTAAAGAAAAGGCTAGTATGAACTAAACCAAGTTATTATAATCCATCTTCTCATAGGTTGCGTAACTCTGTGGGTAGTCGCTTCAGCAAGCGGTAGCCTAAATCACACGCGCAGGGTTATTATAAATGCATTTATTCACTCCATAAAAAAGCCACATTGGTAAGAGAGAAAAAGTGTCCTGGTGGAAAAATACTGCTACATTCTGGTTTGTATTTTGGAGCTAATATTATTTTATTTTCCTGGAGACAGAAATAAGACATTTCTTGGGGCCCTAGGGAGACAATACATTGTTTGAGACATGCTGTTCCCAGAAAGTAAATGGCAACAGCGATGTCTTGGAGGCAATGCTACACACAGGGCAACAAAACAGAAATAGCTCCAGGCCACTCGCTCTGCCTAAGTCTTAGGTTTGACAGCTTAGGTTGCCTTGATTAAAAACATTTAAGCACTTTAAACATATCGAAGTGCATCTGGTATTTCCCAATATGCAGCACGAACAGGCCACTTCAGCAGCTCTCCATGTTACCACGTTACTGTCTCCACAAGCACAGGCCTCCTATTAACAGTGTGCCACTGGTGTCCCCAAAGGGAAGAAGGGTTGCCACCACCTCATCATTTGCACGTGCTTAGCGCCCACACTCTCCTGCTCCCTGAAGTATCCAGTCAGAACATCTTCCTCTTTGGATCCATGCAAAACCCTCTCCTCCCCACTGCCATCTTGCAGATGTTCAAAGACGTTATTTGCCAAATCAAGAGTTTTTACGGCAGTGCCAGACCCAACTCTACCACTTAGAGAGCCATCGTCCAGCACCTACGCTCAAAGCACCTGGTACAATGAGGACAGCATATCCTCCACTGTGGCCTGGGAAGCTGAGGTCAAGGAAAACCCAGAGCAACTTCCCCAAGGCCCATCAACGGGGCACTGCAGAATGAGGAACAGGGCCCTGTCCTAGCCGCCATGCCTCTAATTAATTAATTAGAGACATAGGTTCACATTGACCTGTTTCTCCTGTCTCCCTACCAGCTATGTGCCTCTTGCTGCGCAGACACTTGCGCTGACACGCACACAGAAGGAGCAGCTGCAACAAGCAACAGTGGTCACAATGGAAAAGCATGTGCCTTGCTCACATTCACTATTCCAAAAACAGGCAAGGAAAGTCATTAAAATAAAAGGCTTTTTTCCTCCCCAAAAGGCTCTAGAAAGAGCTCCAGGTCTTTGAATATGAAGGGGCTTCTCATCGTAGCATTTCAGGTCGGACTCTGTAGCACCACTGCACTGCGCCTTCCAGCTCTGGAACAGCCAGGCAAGCCCTCTGAAGCCAATTTCTGACTCACCAGCCCTCATATGGCACATGCTGGACTCCAGCAGCGCATGTAAAAACCTGCTTTATTTAGGATACTGCAAGAAAGGAACCTGCCTTCCCCGTACTGCATCACAGAGTCCGTGGAAGCAGCGTCTCTCTGCACCCACCTACACTGTGCGGTGGCAGCTCTTGCCTTCCACATCGACAGCAGTGCCTGCCAGGAGTTTCTCATCTGGAGGGGAAAGGCACAGATAATCCCCAGACGCCTCTCAGCAGGAGCCTGCCCCGTGCCCACGAGCCTGCTTAGATCCACCATTTGTTTTACGAGGGACAAGGCGAGCGGCAGAGCTGCCACCACGGGAAAGCACAGCAGGCGGCAGTGAGGACACGGGCAGATGCTGCCTGGAACAAATGTGGTGGTACCCTGTGGAGCAAAGCATCCACCCCACACACAACACGCGTGGCCCTTCCCTGGGGCAGCAGGTGAGGATGTGGGGAGGAAGCATGCTCTGCGAGGGGGCTTCCTTACCTCAGCACAACAGGTAAGGCCCAGCTCTGAGCTGCCAGCAGTGCTGCTACAGCTTGGGGCAAGAGAGGAAAAGCAGCAAACCTCTGCTATGCCAGATGAGCCAACTTGGCAAAAACTCTAAGGCCTTACACATCAGCTTCACAGGCAGAAGACTACATTTACAGTATGTATGTCATAGAAAAAATTAGTCAAAATGTAAGAAGAGTCAGTGTTTTGTGTGCTCGTGTACTACTCATGTTTATATACATGAGTACAAACTTGCTTAGCATTAGTGGCTGACTTCATGGAAGCCTTAGGCCACACGCTGTGAATCTGCCACCAGGACACAGCAAACTTTTGTTGCACCCTTGCCAAGCTCAGTGAAGGAGGGCCCCAAGGACTCAGCTGCAGCTAGAAGGTAAGGAAGTGAAGTCATCCACTGACAGCAGCAGGGCGTCTCTGATGATAAGGGAAGAATCTTCAGCCTGCCCAGAGACAACAAAGGGCCCCAGTGAAGGACAAAAGCCCCCAGACCCAAATAACACCGTTGGACCAGCTGCTGCTTGGACTCCACAAGGAGAACTTGTGCGGGGCAGGAACTGAGATTGTAAGGGTAGAATTGCCCCGGGATTTCTTTGTTCGGGGTCCCTCTCTGGAGGCACCCACCTTGAGCTGTTTTACACTGCTGTGCCACTCAATAAATTTGTCTCACATACGTGGTGTTGGAGACTCTGCTTTGGGAAACCCAGGGTCGAGTCTGAGGGATGAGGAAGCACCCGAGAGTGAGTGTTGGGGGGGATCGCAAAGAGGCACCCGTGGGCTCACGCTGCAAAGACTCCGGTCCCTGCAGTTAAAGTCCAGGGCGGTGTGTGCGACTCCTTGAATGGTACGTGAAGGGAGAAGCCGCTGCCCGAGCATTAACAATGTAAATGCTTCTAAAATAATTTCCTGACTTCAAAATAAAGATATTTCCTCCCACAACAGATTCGTAACCGAGTTATCTTGGTACAACTAACAAGCGGGAGCACACAAGCTTACAGCGCATCTAGGAACACGCAGTGCAATGCCACGCCGCCTGTATCCCCACCAGCACAGGGCAGAGCCTGGAGAGATGCTGCTGCCATCCCAGGGCAGCCCAAGGTGCTCACGGTAGCGTGGGCAGGAACGTGGCTTCAAGGTGCTCTGCTCTGTACCAGCATCTAGGTGACACCTGTGGAGCACAGACCCCCACTGCCCAAGCTGCCTCTCAGCACCCCACCTTTCGCTCGAGCTGCTGGTGAAACCCGGAGCCTGGACATGCTGCTAGCTGTCCCCCAGGGAACAAAACATTTCACAGGTGGAGAATGGGGAAACAGACAAATCAAGGCTTAAACTCTTACAAACTTTGAGGTGTTTAACTCCCATGGAACAGAGACACAACACCTTTTGGTATCTGATGTAAAAAAGAACCCTGGAAAAAAACAAACAAACAGGAAGGAAGAGTCCGAGCCAGGAAACGAAACTTTGATCTCCACACAGCGCCTTAACCAGAGCCAGTCCTTGCTTCTGCTCTCTCCCACCCACCCATCACTGCTGCAAGAGACGCCTCTCCAGGCAGGGGCTGAAAGATGCCCAGGCTCTACATTCGCCCTGCAGTTTCAGAGCAAATTCAACAGTTCTGCACTAGTTTGGCACGCTTGAGGTTGGAAACTCAAGTCGCATCAAGAAGAAAATATTTTCTTGTTTTATTTGGCAAGAGAGAATGAATCCTCTAATACGAAGCGTATTTCCTGTGAGGGAGCTATTGGCTTTTCACGCATCCATTGCATGTGCTCCTCTCCTGCCAGATTTCCAAGCGAAATAGTAGAATAACTACCTGCCAGGAAAGGGAGCCAGATGAAAGCATAAAATACGTCTCCCACGACCCTGCTTCTTACTAATTACTGCAAATATGATGCTTTTAACAAGGAGAGCAAGTGCACACTGTCAAAGCAACAACAAGAGATCCAATGGCACTTAACTTGGTTTAGACTCCTCTTTCTCGTGCTTTGCCAGGTCCAGAGCAGGAAGAATAAACCTTTCCATTTTGGCCGCCCTGGGTTAGCTACTGAAAAACTCCCTGGGCTGGTCACGGTGTTGGGCTAACAACAGTGCTGCATTCTTCAGACGTCGTAAACAGGCTGTGCACGCACCATGGGATGTGCGCCTCAAGGCTGCTACTTGTCTCCAAGCCAGCTGTTTACAGCCAGCATGACACACTTCTATTTTCCACCCCAGTGATATTAATAGTGCTGTGTATTTCGGTGCAAATTACACGCAAACACCCCTCGTCGCGGCAGTAACCCAGGGAAGAGGAAGCAGGCTGGAGAGCCAAGCTGGCTGGTGCAAAGGCAGGAGGCCAGCGCAGGGCAGCGCTCCCCCAGCCACAGCTCTCTGCAGAGGGGCTGCCCGGCAGGCAGGTCTGCTGTACTCAACAACGGGGCATCGGCGCTGAACCCGGCCACAAATCCCTGCCTTTAAGTTGCTGGTTCATCACAACAGCGAGGGGGACAGCAGCCTACGCCGCTCCAAAGCCTTTCAGTCCTCGAAAGGATTGCCCTCAACAACGATGCCTGATGATACTTCAAATGAAAGCCTGAACTACGGATAGGGTTTGCCGACAACCAGCCACCTGTGACAAGCAGCCAGGCACTGGGAAGCTGCTGTCACCTCCTGCCTTCAAGACATTCCCCAAACCCTCCCCCTCCTCAGAAAGTAATTTGGGGCTTGCAGCCAAACACAGCCATTGGGGCTGAGCCCCGGGGCTGAGGATGCTGGCCGTTCCCAGCAGGGCAATGGGGGAATCATGGGGACCGAGAGCTGGCTCCCGGGGAACCACAGCAGCGTGCTGAGCCTCATGGCCAGCACCAGCAGGAACCCCAATCCAGCAGTACAGTCACCTGAAAGCAGAAACATCAGTGGTAAAGGAAGTCAAGCAGTGCAGAAAATCGGGAGGGAAGGAGGGGGATTTTGCTAACATTTTTCAAAAGATGACCTGTGATGAGAGGCTCCTATTCCAAATAAAAGAAACCCAGGTGGAAGATGAACATCCCACCTTCACCTGAAAAGGCACTAAGAGCTCTCACTACACACATTCAGGACTTCTCACAAGGCCTGGAAGCAAAGGCAAAGGCAAAGAACGATCAGCTCTCCCTTTCCCGTTCCTTGTAACTTCGGGGAAAACAGTAACAGCCTGTTTAAAGCTACCCTTCAGCTCCAGCCCACACCAGGGAGGTCTCAGAGACAGCCCAGGGCCCCCGATGTGGCCACTGCAGTCACCAGCAGAGCTTCCGTGACAGCCGAGCAGCTGTTGGGACAACTGCACCCGAGCTTCCAGACACATCAGGACAAAACCTTTCCCCCTCCCCCCTGCCACTCCTGCTGGCTGTAACTCGTCTCTTTGCCCAATGAGGTTTCCAGTGCTCCCCATCATCTCCTCCTGCAGCTGAGCCAGCCTCGAGGGTCTCTGCTGCCAAACTATCCATCCTGACCCAAGCCCCTTTGCCGCCAAGGACAACCAGGAAAAGTTTCCAGTCTTGCCCCTCACATTCAACATGTTCCGCACCTTTGCTCCCATGATCCCATCACTTTTTCCTCTGCCCAGTCCTCCGTCCAGTCTCCTTTTACGCCTGTCTTCACACCTCGTTCCTCCAGCCCCATACAGCTACAGTCTCTCTGGCTTCGCCCAGCTATGCCTCAGCTCTCCAAACGCTCAAATTCCTCCTTAAAACGTCTTTTCCTTACAGTGTTTCAGCAGCAACCCAACTCTCCTTTTCCTCCTCTGGCTGAAACCAGAGCAAACTGCATCATGAGACCAGGCATCGATCCATCCAGCAGAAGGGCCAGTCTGATCAGAAACTTCATAATAAACTCCGTGACAAGAAACCATGACTGCATGCTGTTTTTTGAAACACAGCAATCAATATCGACGAGAGCAGAAAATGGACACTGTTTTATAACAGAGGCTCTAGATACCAGATAGATGTAGCCGCTTGCTGCCCCAAGAGACATATCCCATACCAGGTCCACTAGACAGGCGACGGGCAAGCCTCATGTGTGCTGGGCATTAGTCACATCACACTTACGAATGCACCAGCTCCTGGGTGAATTATTCTTTCATTTTCCTTCCCCTTCACAGCTGCAGTGCCATCCTTTACCCCGCTCCCTTCTGCCTGGCCAAGATAGTGGGAAAAGAAGAGCTCCTGTTTCCCCCCGCCACGCATGGAAGGCAGAAGACACTCTGTAATTCCCTTTCCAGCAGGGGAGGACGAAGGGGTAGGCATCACCCCCTCTCCACCTTTTTACAGGGGCAGGACCCCACTCATAAAACCAGTTCTCACCCTTCCCATTCACTCCAGGCCAGCGTGACACTGCCCTAGAAGTGAGGCTGTCCCACACCAGCTCACTGTCAGGACCAGCGCGCCTCTACCAACAGCATCCGCACAGCCCGGAGGGAACAGAGGTCCCCCGAATGCTCAGGGCGCAGTGACCGACCTACCGCCTCTTCTCTAACTCAACTGCACTTCGCCCCTCGAGGTAACATAGCAAGTGGGCACACAAGCTAGCACTGCCTAATGCTGATATTGGCAATGAGTCATCTCAGAGCTGCGCTGGCTTCTTCCTGGCATGAAAAACATCCCTAATGGAGAGCAACGCTCAGGCTGCACGCGAGATGACCTAGTCTGATTAACACCCAGGCATCAGTCCCCGCGCAGATCTCTGCTGTGGCTCCACGGAGGTCAGCAAAGGAAACAGCACGACACAAACCAGGGGTCTGGGAACAACCCCCTCTTTTTCCACTAAGTACCACCAATGCATCCCTCACAGGGAAGGACAGGGCAAACTGGAGCCCAGAAGAAGCATCATGCAGGAAATGAGTCGATGGGAGAAGGATCCACAGTGTTCACTCCTTCCTGCTTGCCCTAATACAGTCAATAATCCTCCTCCAGCCGTAATGGTTTCCTGTTTGTGCAGCTGGAGTGACTCACCGAGTCACTGCTCATCTCCAGGTCACCTGTATCAGGTCTTTATCTGGAGAAGGGGAGGTCACAGGACCAGCCGCTACCCGAACAATATGGTCCTGATGTGCTTCTGACCACCTGCTTTCTTGAAACATTGAGGAGCAAGTTACAGGATGAAGGAAAAAAGCAACGAAACAATAAAAAAGGTGCTAGTGAAGGTTAAAACTCATGGTTAATGCTCCAGAAAAAGAGCCTCATAAAAGTATGGAACACTTAATCACCAGAATACAGCAAGGGCTTCAGAAACTCCCCAGAGCTACTGTGATCCCTTTGCCTGTGTCAGTGCATCATTTTTTGACAGCTTGAATCAAATTTGAGATTTCCCCTAGCTGTGGACATGTACGGTAGGAAATGCCAATCGGAAGGAAGCAAGCACAAGCCATGTTCGCATTCAGAACTACACAAATACTCTGGTAAGACAGCAGCAGGAGCTCGCAGCGCCCCAATGAAATATTATCTGCTTGACGCTGAGGAACAACAACTTACTGCCTGATCTTGTCATTCCTGGGTCCAAATCTTGGTCCAGAAGGCCCTCTCCTACGGGCAGAAAAGAGAGCAATCAGGATGGAAGACACAACGAACATACGTATTCAAACCAAACGCTCAAAGATAGAACCACTGCCTCGTGGGCAGAGGGTTGTTCTCATGCCTCCCGTCAGTCCCTCCCATGTTCAGTAGGGTATGTGGGACACCCTGCTCTTACACCGGTCACCCCTGTGAAGTCTTAATTCACGCTCGATGCCAAGGCTCCGGGAAATCATCTCAAAGGAATCAAAGGTTTTGATTGCTGAGTGCCACCTGCGTGGCGGGGAGCAGCTTGTGGTATTCGACACCTCCAGTCTGAGAGACAGAGGCCTTCCCTACAGCAGCCATTCAGAAACTCACAAGAAAAAGTCTTCCTCTTCATCTGAATCCTCCTCCAGTAGGTTCCTCTGCAAACACAGGAAAAAACCAAAGCACCTCATCAATATGCAACCATCATTTCACACACCTATTTCCAGCCTTTAGGACGCAATTGGCATCCTCTGACTGCAGGCTACACGCGAGCCCTCCTTTGGAGAGGATCAATGGTATTTTTTAGGTGTCTGGAGTTGTGCTGTTTCTCTCTGCTTGTGATCAGAATCCAAGCTGGCTGTCTCTGTGCCGCTGTTATCACCTCGGCAGCATCTGCTAGCTCCGTGCAGTACAGGCCGACGCACAGCTCTGCGGCTCTGACTTGGGACAGCTCGCACCTCTGCCGCTGCGCCCAACTGGATTTGCCTCAAAGGCCAGTTGCCTGTGCAGGTTCTGATCCCAGTTCTAGGGATCGGTACAACTCCCCGCGCCGCAGAAGCAACCAGCGCATCAGCATGTTGAGCCCTGCCTTGGAGAGCAGCAGGCAGAGCTGTGGAAGGAAGGCCCTCTCTGCTCAAGGGACAATCCCCAGTGCTGCGCTCCGTCAATGGCAGCTACTCGAAAAGTGCCAGCATCGCCTGCAGCCACCCTGGGGTATCCCACTCACGTGGGAAGTCAGGTCCACTCCCGATTTGGAGGACGTGGTTTCTCCAGCCATCTGATGGCAGCAGGCATAAGAAGGACGACTGCAAGGAAACACGCTGAGCTCCCTGCACAGCACGGCTCAGGGGTCGGCCCCTCCAAACCGCTGACTTGGGCAAAGGCTACGGACAGGCTGGAAAGCAGAGCGGTCTGGTAGCTCCTCAACCACGCACCGAAGGGCTCCTCCTGGGCTCGGGTCTGCTGCTGCGCTACACCCCGTCAGACGATCCAAAGGCTGATTTTAAGACCAACTCTACAATACCTCTTAAGCCTGAAAGTTTCAGAGAAAGATGTCGCTAGCGTTCGTTTCTCATATCGGGGCAGCACGAATTCTCCAGCAGAGCTGAGGACTCCCAGCCACATCTGCTTGGGGTTCATACCCGTAAATGTAAAATTTTCACTTACCAGAGTGACTGTAATTAAACTAAAGTAGATCCTTGCTGTTTTGAGAAGACAGGAAAACTCTAATATAGAAAGATTCCTAAATAATTCTACCCCAGACAGGTCAGCCTTGGGAGGGCAGATGCACCAAGGTACAGAGATAAAGAGGCACCAAGAAGGCAACAAGACCAGAGCAAAACAACCTTGAAGGACAAAGTATGCTAATCTTAGAACTGAGTTCGCACGGAAACAAACGTCAACCAGCGGACACTGTGATGTTACTCTTAAAGTTGTAAACAGGCCAGGTTCATTTGTCAGACCATAAGGTTTGGAAATGGACTTGTCACGATAATGCTTTTGATAGTGATACCTGTAAAGTATAAAAGTTAAGAACAAAGTATAAAAATTATATCGGAAATATAATGAATATGTATATTGCGATTGTATTTAACCCGAAATGACAGGGTGTTTGGAGGAGAGATCCCCTGTGTGCCCGGCGCCGCAATAAAGAATACCTGCTTAATAGTCCTCTGACTATTGTGTCTTCAGCTCCAGCTTTTCACAGCATCAGGGTCAAAAATAATCAAGAGGGGGAAATGGCACGCTACACGTGTGGGCCTAGGGACACCTCGGATGGTCCTTATGGCACCAACAACTGCCGCTTCCCCCGTGCGTGAATCCAGGCTTCCACCTGCACACGCAGTGCTCGTGGTTCGAGGCTTACCTACATTTCCACCCTCATCACGCTTGCTCAATTAACTTTAGCAACCTGCAAGACCACGCAATAGTTTCAGCCGCTGCCTCGCTCGAGGAATGAGCCAGCCGCTCTTGGCCACGCAGGATCCTCATCTTCCTGACAGCTATCCTGAGCTACAGCAATATTTTAGACCCAGGTTTAGCACAGTATGACCCCAGGACAAGCACATCAGGTTCACAGAATCACAGAATGGTAGGGGTTGGCAGGGACCTCTGTGGGTCACCCAGTCCAACCCCCTGCCAAAGCAGGGGCACCCAGAGCAGGCAGCACAGGACCGCTTCCAGGGGTCTTGAATATCTCCAGAGAAGGAGACTCCACAGCATCCCTGGGCAGCCTGTGCCAGGGCTCCGTCACCCTCAGAGTGAAGAAATTCTTCCTCGTGTTCAGACGGAACTTCCTCTCTTTCATTTTGTGCCCATTGCCCCTTGTTAAATCCACTCTGTCTAGAACAGGCAACCGCACCACTCTGACCCGTATTCAGGCCAGGCCCTGCGGAGAGCCAGGAGGCCGCAGCACACCGCGACCTCCCCAGCCCGAAGGACCCGGAGCAGGTTCTCCCAACAGCCCGCTCTCCTCACGGGGCTTGTCTGACCGTACATCGACCGGCTCTGCCGCACGGAACCCGGAGCCCCCGTG